GGTCTATGCAAAATCAACTTTTTCTGAGCTTTATATCATGTTTTATTTCATTCCCTCCAGCTAGTTGCTAACGGCTAAGCTGACTGTTTCTCAGTGTGTGTCTTTGTCTCCTTCCAGCTGCAGACTGGTGGGACTGAGACAAACCTGTTGACGTTAGCTTGTTAGTTAGCTTTTAGAGGACTTAAAGTTAGCAAAATCTAATTTAGCAGAGGCTAATTGGTCTGCTAACAGTTTTCAAAGATAGTGAAAAAGTTAATCTTCCAAATTAAAAAAATAGTCGTGCTACTGAATAAATTTAACCCAACATTCACGTATGAAACCATTAAAGTGCGACTCTTGTAAATTACATTTTATATTTATTGTCCTGTTTGTATGTCCCAGATGAAACGGCGGCAGGAAGTTCCCAGCCTGAATCTGCGGCTCTGTCTCAGTTCAACAAGTCCTGGGCGGAGCTCACTGATTGGCTGACCATGCTGGACAACATGGTTCAGAACAAACAGGTGGTGGTGGCAGACCTGGACGACATCAATGAAAACATAAACCAACTGAAGGTTAGAGCCATGGAGCCGAAGTCCAACAAACAAACCGTTTCATWGATCAGTTAGATTTCTGTTTTTATGTATTTTGGATTTCTATTTAAAAAAATTACAAGTTTTAATTGTTTTTAGGCATCTCTGCAAGAGCTCGACCAACGTCGACCCCTACTGGAGAAACAAGTCACAGCAGCTCAGAATCTGAAGAACAAAACCAGCAACCAGGATACACGCAACGCCATTACAGAGCGCAGTAAGATACACACTGGACTCATTTTGTGTTACAGGGTGGAGAACGTTTTCTCCAGTTATTTTACAAACCCTATCGGCCTACCCTAGTTGGCCGTTTAGCAGTTAGCAAGCTAACATTTAGGTAAACTGCTCTTCACTAAAGTACGGAGCCCGTCCGGTGACATGGAATAAAAAATTTTTTCCCCTGGCCACAAGATACTTTACGCGTGCGTACGCAATAATTATGTCGTGGCCACCACATAGCTAATTATTGTTGTCATTTCYGTGCAGACTGTTTGTTGTTTACATGGCGCAGGGGGACAGGAGCGCTACTATCCCCCTGCGCCTCAGCTGCAGAGGGAGTCGTAGTTATGCTGCATTCAGGAACACAGCAAAAATCTGTGTCCCGACACACAACCAGGGCGTTCACAGTCATTTCATAAAAAGCCTACCATGAAAGATGATCGATTTATATTGGCATACAACAAAGAATAAGAATAARAATAAGAAAACGTGTGCATATTTAAACAAAGACAAAACAATGCAGTCTATATATAATCTGACTCCAATATTGTCTGTCTATCACAACAAGGCTGCTCAAATTTAGCCCATTAATTACCACGTGCGCACGAGTTATTATCTCGTGGCCAAGTGGAAAATTTTTTAATTCCATGTCACCGGACGGGCTCCGTACTAAAGAGATGATTCAGGAACTTTGATTAGTTTTCCACACAGCTTTTTCTGTTTTGACATAATTTTTGYTTAATGAACATTGACAGTGGAATCTGTTGTGTCTTTTTGTACACTTCAGGTTTGTTATTATGTCCTCAAACAGAAAAACGGTGGTGGGCACAGCTAAATGAAAAGCCAGCTTGACTAATTCATAAAATGCTAACTAAAAATATAGCCAAATATTGCCAGTGCTAAACGAGAAAAAACAAAAAAAGCTAACACTAAAAGCTCATTGCTAACCGCTAAGATGACTGTCACTCAGTCTAAGCTAACTGGTCCACTATCAGTTAGTAAAAATGCTAATCCACTAAACAAAATGTTAGTTCTGTAATTAGCTGTTAGCTGWTAGCTACAAAATGTTGGGTCCAATCTGTTTTAGTTTCAGTCATTTCAAAACAACATATAATCGTTCTTGTTGTAACTAACTGCGCTGTGAAAAGGTTTTGTGAATGATTGGGTGTGGGCTGGGGGGTCTTGGGCAGGTTCCACCACAGAAACCATGCTGATTAGCTTTTACTGATTCACTTTSTAATTGTAGAGTCTTTGCTTTTGAAGTGAGCTACAGCCTAATTTTAGTTTCCTTCAGAGACTCCTGCATCTCTTAACTGTAGTGGAGAGACTTCCCATTAAACTTCCTTTTATTGGCTCGTAGCTGGTTTTCACTGGAATCAACTCTGCAGTGATGGAGAAAATGCAGAGGCGACACAGCTGTGACATTGCGGCACTGTTTGATTTCTTACCAGAAGCAGAATGAAGGTGAACAGAAGGTACAGCTGTTCAGCAACTTTTAATCATAAGTGCTTTATAAGTACATTTATAGCTGTCATTATACAGCTGACTGCCAGCGAGTTGTACCTACTGTACATCCACACCTTCAGGACACGCAGATATCTACAGTACCTAATGTCACACACACATTTCTGTGTTGTCCTCCTTCACCTTAAAGTGATCTCTAACTACTGTCACATGCTGATCTTCATATGTTATTTATCTGKTCTACTAAAAGTTGTGATTTGTGATGCRTGGAAACTAACKTAAAAATTTGTTTATTACAYTTTTCACTTAAGCACATCACCGTTCTGTTACTGATGCATGATGATAATGGGTTGCTGTTGAGACTAAA